CGGGGGGCGGGGGGGGGGGTAGGCCTGACTTTAAGTCTGAGGTGTGGGGAGCCCGGCACCCAGGAACGAGGAAGGAAGGGCAGGTGATGATCTTCTCAGTGATGTGGGTCTTTTAAGTGGTGTGATGCTTTGCCTTTAACAACATGTCTCCCCATACAAAATCTCCTCTGATCCTCACAGCTTCCTGGTGAGACAGGTACCAGGACTGGCAGCTGGCTTCATCCCATAATAAGATCCTGGGCACCAAAGAGCAGTGATGGGAGGAAAATCCCCCCGGACAGGGGACTTCCTGAGAATAACTCTCACTCTCCCTGGCAGCTCTGAGCTGGTCCCTCCGTCCGGGGAAATGTGTATCACCGTGCTGCTGAGTGCAGCCATTTCATTTCTTATCTTGGTTTATTCGGTGCCGAGCCAGTGGTGCTTACATAAATGTCCTTCTGGCACAAGGGAGAGATGGAGGGAGAGAGAAAGGAAACAGCAGCTGTCAGCAGAGTGTCAGGCTGGGGACCTGCCATCTCACTGAACAAAGCTCCAGTCAGCTCCAACACTGTCCTGGGTGCAGCTGTAATCGAGGGTGATGAGACTGTCCCCAAGCACGGGAACACTTCCTGTCCTTAAAGAGAACAGGGAGAGAGAGGCCTTCAGTCATTACCCAGGTGTCACTTGTGAATCATTAACCAGAGGCAGTGGGATCGGAGCAAGGTCAAAGCAAATGAATCCTGACACTGAGGCCTCCGAAGATACATCTTAGATGCCAACATCTGAGTATTAATCTTACCTGGTTGGCACAGACATGCAATATGCGGTGTGGGGGGGTGTTGTGTTTTGCATTTCTTTTAAATCCAAAGAGTCCTTCAATATTTGGCTATTTTATGGGAGCTGGAGAAGTCTCCTCTCCTCCTTCTCCTCTACCTTCTTCTTCATCACCTTCCTCCTCCTTCTTCCCTTTCTTCTTCTTCCTCGTCTTTTTCTTCTCCTCCTTCTCCTCCTCCTCCCTCTCCCCTCCCCCTTTCTCTCCCCTC